ATAAGGGTGAAAAGAAAAACTTTTCGAGCCAATTTTGTGTACAAATTTAGGTAATTACCGCAGGTGTCTTACATCTGTATACACGTTTTCCAACTTCAAACAGAACCGTTAATTACCAACGGCTATTTAAATTAAACCGAGTTAAAAATTCCCTTAACAGATAACTTTTACATACGCGAAAAAACAATTACCGAGTCACCTGTTGTCAAAAAGAAAAGAAGAAAAATTAACATTTTCCTGTTTTTATCTTATAATGATATTTACCACCAACGAAACGGAACATCTTTCTTATAGCAAGTTAAACCTCCACGATTTTTATTTTTTGTATTAAACTCTGGCGAAATCTAATTTTAAGGGTATCATAAACTTTGTCATATTTTTCTCACCACGAGAAAACGAACGCCTTTTTTGACACAGCGTATGAGTTCTTCAGTTTAAACATCACATCTGCCTCACTTGCATTCAAGACGCACTTTTTTAGCATTCTAAAGACTAAAGATTCTGTGAAGAAAGTTCAAAGTATAAAGAAAAAATAAATTTCCATCAAAATAAACGAAAAATATTTCGCAACATTTGTTCTCAATTAATATCTGAGCACCATTCCAGCGCTAAAGTGCGGAGTAACCTTAAAGGCAAAGACAGAAATAATGGCAAGAATAGTAAACTTTTATTATTGATAGAAACAAGACCACTTTCACCCGTCACTCGGGTAATAGGAAGTAATCTATCCAAAACCCCCATTCAAAGTTTCTAGTTTGCAGGAATCAATACGTTTCTTCCCCAAATAATTACAGTTAAGAATATTCCAACCTATTGTAATTATCTTCAACCCACAAAAACTCGTAATAATTTGGATTCCGAGTATAGGCAGAATTCAAGACAGAATCTGCTTTCAGTGGACAAGTTCCATTATCTATATGTACCCCGAATTGACATGATCACACCATATGATGACTTTGAATGTATCTTAAATGTCTTGATCATCCTCTCTGTGTTTCTGTGAACTTTGCCGCTTAAGGAAAAAAAGTGGTGTGTGTTATTGTCCTGTAACAAGTTCAACGACCCCCACAAACTCAAAGAAAGCAAGAGTTCGCATTACTATTCGTTTTCAAATTCATCACTATAAGTTTTTCAAATGCTAGTACTTGCTATAGATGTAAGGAACTCGCATTATTTAAGGGAGATAGAACATTGATAATGTTGATCAGTTACAGAAAATATTGGGTTGTTTTTCTTTTTAGTTGTGACAGTAAATTCAGATGAGTGCAGAGCCATTTTATTCAAACCAGTCACCAAAGACAAGTATTTACTTAATCACATAATCAAAACTGTGCCAGTTGAAAGTGAAGTAGGCTGTGAACTAATTTGCTATGGGGACCCTGACTGTGTGTCTTACAACTACGGGCCAGTACTAAGTGAGATTCCTTTATGCGACCTGAATAACAGCACTCATTTACAAGTCACCAGCGTGAACTTCATAACCCGAAATGGCTTCAGCTACCGAGGAATTGAAGTAAGCCTTACAACCTAAACAAAACCAAAGGTTTTTTTTTTCGGTGAAACTTCACTCGACACGACTGACTGGTTGACCACAGAAATATAAACAGAAAGAAAAGGTAGCTATGTTCTAGGATGATTACCTGCACTCTTTAATTCGGTAATTTTAAATCAGTGGGACGCGGTGCAGCATACAACAGACTTCATTCATGGCGAAATTAATTTTCCAGATGTTGGAGACCAGGTGAAATCTTTTTGAGGTTCAATGCTTTTTCGAAAGAATGACTCTAATGACCTCTTTTCAAAATTAAAAGATGATAATAATGATAATGGTGATAGTAATCCCTCAAGAAGCACACGTGCTCTTAGAATACAAAAAAGGAAAAGCACTCTTTCCTTTTTTTTTTATCACAGAATCCTTGTGGAAGCAGCCCATGTCAGAAAAATTCTACTTGTCAAGCTGGTTTTACTTCAAAAGGATACCGTTGTGTGTGTCCACAAGGACTCGGGGGAGAGAATTGTGACCAAGGTATTTTAAGCTTATTCATCAAGTGATGCAAGTATTCCTGCCTTTTTATACTTCTTGGTATTCTCGTTTTTTTGCGTAGGAAAATTTACGAAATTTTCTAAAGTCATTGACTTCATGTTTAAATATGTTTGTTGTGTATAACGAAAAACCTCCTTCTCACTTTTTAGCAAGTATGTGTTTGTATCATAATTATCTTAGATTTTCGATGGCCAATCCGTTTTGTGGCTTGGGGAATCATTAACATCTAACACAATTTAGCATGTTTTTGTTTTTCCCAAACCGACTCATTGCGATTTAGAACAAGAGTTATTACGTTACGACTTGTTGTGAGGAAGTAATTCGTGCCAACCTATTGAAATCATATATAAAAGCTTTTCACAAAAAGTATTCGAATTTGATGACGATACATTTTCATCTTGACTACAAAAAAGCCACTCAGTTCATTTCCGATTTGTAAAATGAGATTGCAAGGACAGTCTATTACAGTAGAGAGATCTATAGATCTCTTCATCGTGTACAAGGACTCGTATAAGCATCTTTTCTACTTTTATTTTTCCAGCCATTCTGCCGCAGAACTGTTCCCAAGCCTTAAAGGAAACAGGAGTCTACGAAATTTCCAATCATGGATCAGACTCATTCCCAGTGTACTGCGACCAGACAAGTGATGGAGGGGGTACGTCAAACTAAATAGGAGGATCTCGATAGGAGATGAACTTTGTTCGCTATTTGTAGCACGTTGGTATTCTGTTATCGGTGCATTTCGATCTTCATTATCATTCTGGTTATTATATGGTGTTCCCTCGTAGGTCCGTATAAATCTACTGTTGTGTTGTTTGATCGTGGGTATCCAAGCTTCTGGAATGTTGATTCCACTATCCCTATTGATTTTGTTGGGATGAAGTCTTATATGGATAGCCTCTTTGACCCTACTTGTGTACCAGTGGGGGTAACGATAAATAAGCTTAAACTTGCTCCTTAATAGGAATATGTCCCGCTTCGTTAGCGTGCTCCGAAACCGCAGAGGTCTGAGAACGAGCAAACCGTATGTCTCTGTCATGTTTTTTATCCTTTCTTGCACTGATTTCCCAGTTTCACCGATGCACACTTTGCCACATTCGTATGGGATCTTGTAAACGACACCATCTTGTTTTGATGGTTCCAAGGCGTCTTTAGGTCGTACTAAGTGGGACCTAAGTGTTGTGTTCGACTTGAAAACGGTTCGTATGCCTTGTTGTTGTAGGCAGCGGCGAAGAACCTCTGATACACCCTATATGTAAGGGAGAATGGCAGTAGATTTAAATTCCTGCGCGGATTCTTTGTTGGCTGTTACCCTTGTTGTCTTTGCGAGTTTTTGTACAAATGAAGAAGGGTAACCATTTGAAACAAGTACTGATGACAAGTGTTTCTTTTCCTCAGAGATACCTGACGGTTTCCTTGTGAGGTGTTTGGCTCGGTCTTAAAGACAATAAACAATACCACGCTTTACTGACTGAGAGTGGTGTGAATCATAGGTTAAGTACTGGTCAGTGTGGGTGGGCTTTCTGTAGAAAGTGGTAGTGAGAAGACCGTCTGGGTCCCTTGTAACTGTTGTGTCGAGAAAAGGAATGGTGTTATCTTTCTCGATTTCCATGGTAAAACGAATAGTAGGCTGCTGACTGTTTAGATGTGGTAAAAAAAGCCGTCGACATGGTCCCGGTCTAAGACTGTGAAAGTATCATCTACATATCGTTTCCAGATCTTATGTTTGCAAGTCGCATTTGGTATCGCTTGTTCCTCAAATTCTTCCATGTAGACACGTAAACAATCGACCTCATCGCCTGAGAAGACTAGCAGTATTGCAGTCGAAACGTCGTGATCTACATCAAAATTGACTCTATCGTGAGACAAACGAACAAAGTTCATTTCCTATCTTACACCACGATGAACAATAAGCACACATTTTATGACAAGAATCTCGATGAGTTAACCGTTAAGAGTAAAACGACCAAAAATTCAGCCGTTAAGCGTATAAAATTGACAAATTTAAACCGTTAATCGTAAAAAAAATCAATCTCAAAGTGTTTTCTGGTGACCACAATGGAAAGATATTAGCCTTTAACCGCAAATAGGCCAAATCTTAACCTATGGCCGTAAAAGCCATCAACACATTGAGACCCTCGAGTAAGGGTCATCAGTATCTCTCTGACGAAGGGCTAACGCTCGAAACGTCAGCCTTTAAACTGCTTGACTATTTATGGCGATCAAACAAATCTGGTTTGGAAAAAGCGTAAATCTTCATTACTCACTAACTTGGCTTCATCATCTTATTATGTTATATCTATAAGTTATATATTCCGTTTCTTTCTGCTCATCATGACGAAGTTAAATCGTACGGGATACAGCCTCTGTGGTTTTTTCTCTACTGTACTGATTCGATAAATTTTGTTTCCTCAGACTTTCATAATTGTTCTGATGCAACCAACATAACGGGCGTTTTTACAATACATCCCACCATGACTGGGGCCTTTTTCCTGTGTACTGTGATCAGACAAGTGATGGTGGATGTATCCCATATTCTGAATGTTCGGTACAAGTTACATAATGAAACGATAAAAGAAAAATTGGTCTCAATCTGCTCCAAGTCTACGTTTAGTACTAACTTTTCCCTTGATCAATGCAAATATAATTGGAGAGCGTAGTCAGTGCCTCGTGGAGACTCCGTCAATAGCTTTTCGCTCGAGCGTATTCATGGAATTGCTGGATCATCCTTTCGTTTCACATGGACGATCGCATTTTTTCCACTGGTGTATGTGACTTCCTTTTCCTCTTTTTCCATCACCTGTTATTTCCATTCGCATTCTAAGCTGTCCATCACTGCTGTTGGATTAGATCAGTGATTCTTTTTTCTGTTGTTTCGTAAGCGTTAAGTAATAGGAGACTTTTCGAGATGACCTAATTTTCAAAATCTTCGTCTAATAAAATTTTCACCTCACAGGCTGGACGATGGTATTCAAAGTTGTTAGTGGCTTCTCTCCATTGGACGTTGGTGGAATTTGGTCGTCACCCTCCCTCCATCATGAAAATCTCAACGACACCTTCGACTTAACGTCAACTTATCCAACTCATTACAAGAATCGTATTGTACTGAACTGGAAATATTTTAACCCTAAAGAGGTGAGGAAGGTTAATGAACGAATTACCCCAAACATTCAGTAGTATACATGCCCAAGTAAAAGCATAAGCTTCATTACCTGCCAATGACGCTTGCTACTGAAAGAGCCTCTGCAATCATTGGGGATTTAAGACGCGTGAAAGACACTGCCAATTGAAATCCTTGATAGATATTTGATTCATGTCAAAGCTACCACAAATTCATATTTTACCCCGTTGAAAAGTAGTTCACCTTCTCAAATGTTCATGTTAATACGGAACTTGTGCCGGGAACAGTTTGGGAAACGCTTAGATCTACCATATAGTCAAGCAAGACACAAAGGGTGACCTTTCGGATTACTAAAATACACTGAAAACATTGCTCGTGTACTTAACCTCAGTGTAAACTGCTTAATACTTCCTTTACTTTTTGCTACTTCTTCGTGTAATCTTCTAGTCTACTAAAAGGCTACAACGTTGCCACAAAAGGGCGACATGAGAAGGGCTGTCACCTGGTATCATTCCTTGACGATGAGGGCAAATTTTATACACTTGGTTATAGTTTATTACATCTGGGTAAGAATATTGTTGAGCGCAGTAGCTAATGGAGTTGTCAAAGGCATGCAGGAACTCAAGCCACCAGGAGATCGTTCAGCAGTCAGGGAACTAATGAAAATTGTGGACTTGTAAACTTTTTCAGAATTTGAAAGTAGCAAATGGATTTGAAACGAGTAATTACTTGAGTGATTAGTATGTTGACTATGATGCGAACTGTCACTAAGGATACAGTATGAAGATCCTATAACCTGGAAAATCTACTCATATTTTGTGATATCGTAATGTTAAAGTTAACAAAAATTGTTTCTTTACAAAGGGTTAATTTCAGTCGATTTTAACTTCCATGAACCTCAGGTTCGCGTCGTTATATACAAGGACAGTCAACAAGTCACCTCCCTCAAGTTCAATGCCACTGGTACAGACAACTTGAATTGGTTTTCACATGAAAACTTAATTTACTCGCCATGGAGTGATCTCAAGATGTTCCCATCCGTAAATTTTGGCCTTCTGGGTCCCATAGTTTCCGATCGCTTCTTTGAGATAACTGGCCCTTATACTGGTTGTGAAAGTGATATCGGTTGGTTGGTAGTTACAAGTCACCCAGTATGTCCTTGGGACAGACGATCACCTTGGCCTAGTATCCAATACAGCAAGCAGCGCGTGGCGTCGCGTATGGAAAATTACGGTAATTTTGATATTGAAAAAAATTCTGCTGTTCAGGTATTACTTCATTTCATGCTATTCGAGACACCAGATTTCGTCGCCTGAGCAGTTTTTTTTCTTCCTGACGTAGTCAAAGACGTCAAAAAGATGAATGAACATCTTCAAAAAAACGACAGTAGTGATCGTTTCAAAATATCTTGAATGGGGCTTGACCCCTTCCCTTCCCTCCCCTCCCCCCCACACTATTCTCTTAAATCATCAAAGGGCCACGGTAAAACGGTCGAGCAAAACACGAAATTCATGATCACGTCTTCTACTAGTTCGCATTTTCTTCCCATTTCCCGAAAATTAGTCTTTACTCATGGAAAGGTCTTGTATGAACAATTCACGTTTACTACCCGGTACGTTGTTACTGTACCTGTTTGTTTCTGTTTGTTTTGTTTGTTTCTTAGTGTTCACCAACGTACAGACGTACATCCGTACCATTGACTTTTCGCATGCGAAATTCTCACTTCTGAATGAATATCATTTTAACTAAAGAATCATTTAGCCTTTGAAAAAAAAGCCTCTGTTATGATTCCATCACACAGGAAATGTTGGGATTGCAGACGTCCTCGCCGTGTTTGTTCGCTAACAACA